CTATCTATTTTACTATCGGCCTATTGATCAATCTCACTATCGATCTTATTATTTGTCTACGCGTCGGTCTATAAATCGATGTCAGTACGGATATCGCATTCGGGCCCAGTGTCGATCTCACATTCGAACTCACTGCGAGGCACCAGAGCGTCGGAGCAACCGGCGGAACCAGACGGCATTTACTCGCGCGCTTTTTTTCCTTATAGAAGCACATGCTACGAGCATACAAGTCCGCGGGACACCACGGAACACCACCATCGATCGCATTCATGATGTCATTAACTATCGATATCACTCCCCAGCCTCTTATCTACTGACTTCATTGTCGGACTCACGGTCGACCCCATTATTTGCCCAGCAACTTGTCCATCAGTCGATCTCATCATCGACATGCCATCCAGTGGCGAGCCAGATGTATGAAATTCTTCATTGCCGTGCCACGATGGTGATGTCGAAAAGGGGTGATGGTGATGAGGATCGTGTTGATGCTGATTGTGACGCTGCTGACGATGATGGTTATGATGTTTATGATGATGCTGATGATGATGATGACGATGATGATGATGATGCTGATGATGATGATGATGGTGATGATGATGATGATGATGGCCAGCGCACCTTGCTCTAACCCAGAATTCGCTACCGCGCAGGAGCGGCAGTGCGGCCAGGCCGCTCACAGAAGTCAGCGGGATATGCCTGCGAGAGCAAGGCTTACAGAGTACGGGCGCTGAGGCCAGGAGTGCGCTGGCAGAGCCCTGGCGTTTCCACTCGCATGTTCTAGCTAGTTGCTGCCGTCCAGAGAAGCCGACGCTCCCCTGGGCGCTAGCGGCGAAAGAGGCTCCGATGCCAGGCGCCTGACTTTTCGCTGGCGCCCCTCCGACCTCTAGTCGCCAGCTGGGTGACCTGCTGACTTCGGAGGTGGGGTCTCGGGTTCGGAAGCGCCGACGCCCGTCTTCAGGACTGCTTTCCACTCCGCCGCAAGACTGCGCGTCAGCGCTGCGACTTCATCCTTGGACAGTTTGATAACGTGCTCAGTCGTGGGAGTCGGGTGCATGTTCTCCGGCGCCAGCGGCGCTAGCAGAGCCTGGCCCTGGCGCCGGGCACTGGACAGCGGGTGCGAGGATGAACGCAGCTTCTATGTCCGAGCGGTACGTTCGCATTTATTCAAATCGCAGCAGCCCATCATGGTCACCTGCGCTGGAGGGTCGCTGAGGACGCAGAATGCCGTCGACGAGACCTTGAAAGTCTGCTCCAGTAGCTGCTTCTCGTCGTTGATGTGGTTCATTTTGGTCACATCCGTGCCGCGCGCCAGCAGCCACAGCCGGTGTGCGCAGATGCCCGCGTCGTCATCGCGGCGGAGCGCCAAGCCCCCCAGCCGGCCCTCGAGAACGCGACCCATTGGCACCGGCAGCACGACCTCTCTGGGCGCCAATGAGAGGCCACGGCACAGATCGCCGCTGGCCTCTCGGCGGTTGCCGATTGGACTCTGCAGGTAGGATGGGGCCAGCACGTGTCCGCCCTGTGTGTGCCCCGTGCGGTGCGCCTGCGCGCGCGCTCCACTGGTGGTCGACGTATAGTTTTCAGTCGGATCGCCGCCATGTCGGAGTGGCCCGGGAGTTGTTGCTGGCCGGATTTCCCACGCAACGTGCGGCCCGTGCGTGTCAAACTGTTGTTACGCCAAAGAGAGAGAGAGAGAGAGAGAGAGAGAGAGAGAGCGCCTTCGCGCGCGCCCGCGCGCCTCATGATTCCTGCGGTGCCCGCAATAGGCTCGCCGCCATGTTGGCCTGGGAACCCAAGTGGCCCCTCATCACCAGCCTCGAACGTATCCCTATCCCTAAGATTGACACGCCAAAAGGCGATGACAATCTTAGGGATGCGCCCTGAAAAACGAAGGGAATCCCTAAGATTGGCATTGCGTTGAGGCGATGCCCAGCTTAGGGATAGGGATATGTTCCAGGCTGGTAAACCGCTGATTGGTTTTCCCATTCAACGTGCGGCCTGTACGTGTCCGCCTGCTGGTGCGCCATATAATGCGTCTGCGCGCGCACGCTTGGTGGTTTCTAATTGTTCGCAATCGGATCGCCGCCATGTGGGCCTTCGCCCCATGGGGAGCTCCACGGAAAGCTGTGCCTACAGCGAGGTGTTCTCAATTGCGTATGGCAGGGTCCTTCGCCCAGATATGTTTGCTAGGTCTTCTCCTTTTCGCTTCCTTCTCTTTTCTGTTCTCTCGTCACTGTAGCTTGCTTTTGCCCCCCTACTCCAACACAATTATTTCCCAGGATCTGCTCCGGCTGGTTGACCTCATTAGCATTGGCGAGCAGGAGGACGACCAGGCCTTGGAGTAACAATGTGAGGGTTTATGGCGGAGAAGCAGGAACGCACGCAGACGATGGGCTCATGGGGGAGCGAGTGAAAGGGGTGAAGGAAGACAATGAGATATGCAGTATCATGGATAATAGGCGTAGTAGGGAGAAGACAATAGCGCAGCGCAATAAACCGAGGAGGAAGAAGAAGGGGTGCGCGAAGAGGCGGAGGCAGTGGCGGCCGAGGAGTAGGAGAAAGGGCGGACCAGGAGGAGGAGTAGAGGCAGATGGAGGATAATGAGGAGCAAGGAGGAGGCGGAGGAGGAGGAGGACGAGGACCATGAGGCGAACGGGGACCAGGAGGAGGAGAAGGAGGAGGAGGACGAGGAGGAGGAGGAGCAGGAGGAAGAGGTGGAAGAGGATACGGAACATGAGGTGGAAGCGAAGGAAGACAAGGCAGATTACCAGGAACAGGATCACCGGGATGAGCAGATGGATGGTGAGGATGATGATGAGGATGATGATGATGATGATGATGATGATGATGATGATGATGATGCTGATGATAATGAGGATGATGATTATGATGCTGATGATGATGATGCTGATGGTGAGGATGATGATAATGATGATGATGCTGCTGATGATGCTGCTGCTGATGATGATGCTGATGATGATGATGATAATGATGATGATGATGATGATGATGATGATGATGATGATGATAATAATGATGATGATGCTGATGCTGATGATGATGATGATGATGATGATGATGATGATGATGATGATGATGATGATGATGATGATGATGATGATGACTACAGGCATCACGGGCATTAGTTTGTATCCGTGCAGGCTTCGCAGCATGGTGCGGCGCAGGCAACGCCGGCGCGTCAAATCATGGGGTGCAGGCGGCATCGCTTGTGCATCGTGACGCGATCGCAGGCACCGCAGGCATTGTTTGTTCGACATAGGCTCAGGCATGCCACCCCTTTGAGGGTCATTCAGTTGTTCACGAAGAAGGGGGGAGCGAGGAGTGGGCGGCGGGGAGGGAGTTCACGTACCGCTGTCGAAACAGCTACGTCGCAATACACGTGCCACTGCCCCAAAAAACTATATCGCATTATACAGATCACATATTTGATATTGTCAGTTACTGTTTTGTATAATTTTGGGGGGAGCGCCGCTGACTTCTAGCACTGCGTCGGAAGCATTATACCCAACGGGGCGCGGTCAGCTGAAGGTGGCGCCGGTGCGCGGGCAGCGCCCGGGACAGCGAAGCGGCGCGCGGGTCGTGCCTTGGGGATCAGATGTGAAGCGACCAGGACATGCTGTAGCCACTGTAGTGCGATATAACATGCGTTCATGCGTACGGGCATACACATCTGCTGATGCACCGTGCTTGTGCGTAGCTTCTGGTATACCTACCATCGTGTACCAATTTAGCATCTCATTTGAGGGAGTTTGTGTGGAACTCATGCCAGCCTGGCCCCCAGCGCGCGAGAATTAGTCGCCTCTCGGCGCACCGCCAGGACCCATTTCCCGGGATGCGCTGGGCGTGCCAAGTGTGTCCCAATCCAGTTCGAGACATCTTCACAAAAATCGCCCCACGGGCCCCCGGCGCGCGCCGGGCTTGTCCCAATCCAGAGCCCTCGTTCGAGATTTCTTTTTGCAAAAATCGCACCGCGGGCTCCCAGCGCGCCCCCAGGGACCATTTCCGGGGATGCGGTGGGGGGGCTGGGCGTGTCCCGATTTGGCACTCTCGCACGAGACATCCCGCAAAAATCGCCCCACGGACTCCCGGCGCTCCCCCAGGGACAGTTTCCGGGGATGCGCTGGGCGTGTCCCAATCCGGCCCACGCATGCTCTTGCTGCTCCTCATCCTTCTGTTCCTCTTGTTCCTCCCCCCTCTCTCCTCCCCCCCCCCCCCTCCCCCCACCTCCCCCTGGCATCCCCGCGCGACCAGCTCCGACGCGTCCACCAGGCTGGGCGCGTGCACCGCGCGGGTCTTGTCGAGGCTTTGGTAACTCTGCCGATCCCAACTCTGCTGATCCTCCCTTTCCTGCTCCACACTCGTCCGATCCTCACCCTGCTGATTTTCATTATCCTCGTTCTCGCCTTCCTGGCCCTCATTCTCCACATCCTCATCTTCCTGCTCCTCGCTCGCCTGATCCTCACCCGCGTGACCCTCGCTTTCCTGATCCTCCCCCTTGCGAGCCTCGCCCTCCTGATCCTCACCCTCCTCATCCTCGCCCGCCGCACCACCGCCCTCCGCTCATTCACATCTCGCCCACAAGCGCGCCCCCACGTATTCCCGATCAACAGCAGAGTGGCCAGCTGGTAAAGATATTATAAGATATGATACGGTATCACATAATGCATGGCCCGCGCCAGGGTGACATGTGTACATGCATCATATGGTTGGCAACCATGCGGCGCACGACATGCCAATCGAACATGTTTCCAGAACGCAGATGCGCATACACCATGATACGCTTTGATATGTTGACATAATACCTGTCTACATGTCGAAGTCAAGCTCGAACACGCCTGTAGTATGTGGCGGAGGAGGGCCAGGAGAAAAAAAGGTGCAGGAAGGAATGGGGGATGCAGTCCTGGTGGAGAAAGATACAGAAAAGGACAACGGACACGCAAGGGGGCTAGAAGTGCAGGCGCGCTCCTGCGGCGCCCCAGAGCGGCTGGACGCGACATTCTGGATGCGATCTTCTGGACGCGATCTTCTGGATCCTCGGCGTCCTCGGAATGGTCGGGTCGGCTCTTTTGGCCGAAACGAATGACACCACAATCGCGACCACCGCCGCAGATGAGATCTACGACCTCAGCAGTTTTTACCTTGATATCGACGGCTCGCTGTCCGAAAGGGGGGAGCTCATGTTCTCCACGGCCGCGTCCAACTACGTCGGCTCCGACATAGGCGACCCGCTGTATGGAGGAGGCGCCCCGAAATGTGGCACGAGTGGTGCGAAGGCGACGAAGGGGCGTCGCCGGGACACCCAGCTTACGCAGCTCATTTTTGATAGGCAGCAGTCACTGGCCCAATTCATGAGCGAGCTGGGCACGGGCAATCCTGCAGTGCAACCGGCCAAGCCACGCAAGAAGCGACCTAAGCCACAACCGCAAGAGCCACCCATCCTCACTCAGATCCGCAGCCGACTCACGAGGGTAGACGCAGCCGACCTCACCCCACCACGCGACCGAGTCACGCAGCAATTCTGGATGCTGGCCAAAGACTCACCAACGTCAGCATCGGACCCAGCCACCCTTGCCGCACCCAGGCCCAGGCCGCCGAATCCGACCCACAAGCCTTCCCCACCGCCGTGGGGCCTGGCGCCGATCTGGACGGCACCCCCCATAACCACCCGCCCGAGCTGCCACCTGCGCCATCTCGCCCGTCACAGTCGCGGCCGTTTTTTTCTTCTCGTCCTTTGCCCTCGCTCCTCGCGGCGCCGCAGGCGGTGCTCACCGACCTGATGTTCCGCAGGCCCGACCTGTTCGTGCTCGACTACAGGCGGGGCGAGCTCGCACTCCCCTCCCCTATCCTCCTCTCTCCTCCTCCTCCTCCGCTCCTCCTCCTCGCTTCTCGCTTCTCCCCTATCCTCCTCGCTCCTCCTTCTCGCTCCGCCTCCTCCTCGCCACTCCTCGCTCCTCCTTCTCGCTCCTCCTCCTCCTCCTCCTCCTCCTCCTCTTCCTCCTCGCTCCTCGCTACTCTTCGCTGCTCGCGCCTTCGCTCCGTCGGTCCTCCTCCTCCTCCTCCTCCTCCTGCTCCTGCTCCTCCTCGCTCCTCCTCCTCCTTCTCTTTCTCCTACTCCTCCTCGTTTTCCTCTCTTCTCCTCCACCTCCTCCTGCTCCTCTTGCTCGCTCCTCGCTCCTCCTCGCTCCTCGCTCCTCCTCGCTCCTCCTCGCTCCTCGCTCCTCGACGAGGACCATGAGAGAAAAGGGGGAGGATGACGATGAGGAGGCGGAGAGGGAGAAGGAGAAGGCAGGAGGAGAAACAGGAAGAGGAAGAAAGATTTGGAGACAGGAGGCCGCCGATTGCGATAATGCTCTGAGGAGGAGAGGGCCCCGAGAAGTCCCGCGACTGTCGGAGAACGCTCCCAAGCCGCTCAACCACTAATTACAATCATCCCCCTCCCCCACCCCGCCCCCAAACCCCTGAGACCCACTTCCTCCTCTTCATCTCCTCCCCGTGACCATTCTGGCTCAAGCCGTTTTGGCTTAAGGGCGCTTGTCGCGCCCTACGGACAACCGTGCGCCCGAGGCCCGGGACTACTGAGGAAGACCTCTCACACGCTTGACGTGACTGCGTAGGCCCCCCCCGCCTACCGCGAATCGCCGGCGACAACCCACGCCCGCTCCCCGCCACACTTTCGTGATGCTTGCTCTGCCCTGTCCCTGCTGCTCCCTGCCCTCCTTCTTGCCCCCGTCTGTTCACTGTGTTCTTTCCTGCCTTCCCTCGTCGTCGTCATCGTCGTCGTCGTCGTCGTGGTTCTCCTCCTCCTCCTCCTCCTCCTCCTCCTCCTGCTCCTCCTCCTCCTCCTCCTCCTCCTCCTCCTCTCTCCTCCTCCTCCTCCTTCCTCCTCCTCCTCCTCCTCCTCCTCCTCCTCCGCCTCCTCCTCCTCTGACGAGGGCCGCGTGCTCGCCCAGCGGCATTCTGTCGCGCTGCGCGGCTGGTCGGCCGAACCGGACCATCTCGCGGCAGTGCGCCTGGGTGCCGGGGGCACACGCTCCTCGCCGTCCCCATTGTGTCGCCGCCTCTTGCTCCTTCTCCGCCTCCTCCTCTTCGGGTGCACGCAGCACCAGTATGAATCGGGGGGCATGGTAGTTGCATGGTGGATTTCGTTGGACGAATTCCCACGGGCATTCCGCACCGCATGCGTGGTTCCGCATGTTGGGGTGCTTTGACGCGACTAGACCCGCCATCGTTTTCCATGTGGGTTCCGAAGCATGTTGGCAACGTTGTTCCTATTGGAGTTGGGCGCTTGCGTTTTCTTCGCCGCGGCGCACGACCCGTCCTCCTCGTTGCTTCTCTCCACGCTTCGTTGTTCGTCCTTCCGATGGCCCAGTTTGCCCCACCCTCGCAGTTTCGCGTTTGCGGCCCGCCTGACTGCGCCGCCACATTTGGCGACCTCGCGCGCCCGTGGGATTGAGCTGCACCGCCGTCCACGCATCACGCGCCCGAAAATGTGGGCCCAGCTTGGACTTCTAGCCCTCGTTGGCCGACTCGCGCGCGATCCGCCTGTCGCGCGTTCCGCATTGCAGATCGGGCTTCGCCTCCTGCCCCATGTTGATGGGGCGGTCGTGCGCGCCTGTCGTTGAATACTCCCTCTCTCATCATGCGTTTCGTGCCCGTTTAGCGACATGGCTCCTGTTCTTGCGGGGGCCAGCGCGTTTGCCCTTCGCTTCGGAAGGGGCGCGCCCCAATCGCCGCGGCTCCATAAGTAGCGTTCGCAGGCGGCCGCCCTCGTTGCCTTGGCGCACCCGGCTTTCCCTCGAAGCGTGGATTCGCCCGTGGCTCACGGATGTGATCCGCGCCCGTGGGCTCCCCTCCTTGGGTGCTTATTGGGCCATTTTGGAGCCATCTTGAAGGTTCTGGGATCCCTTCGGAATCGGAAAAGCGAGAAGGCAGACAAGACTGAAAGCGACACGTGCGTGAAGGGCTTTGGCATCTTGAGGGGCTCGTTGGGAGGGCCCATGGCCCCTTCGAATCGGCTTGTTGCGGTCTTGGGGCTTACTGGGACCATGTCGGAGGTCATCTTGAACCATCTTGGGCTACCATGTGCCATCTTGAATGCCATGTTGGGCCGTACGAATCCGTCTTGGGGCCGTCCTGGGCCACCAAGGACTCCTTCACGCCTCGCGCCCCCCGGGCTCCAGACCCAGGGGGAGGAAGCAGGGGGCCGTGGCAAGCCCCGCCCCGAAAGGAGAACGAGCTCGCTAAAGCACTCGCGCCCCAAAGGGCCGGTGGGATTCACGAAGTATGGTGGCCTCGGGAGCGCGAGCGCGTCGTGCTTTTACGAGGGATCTCGTGGCCTCGAGAGCGCGGGCTGGTCGTACGTTTTGCATGCCCCAGCCCTCCCTTCCCCCCCCAAAAAAACTGCAAGCAGTGTGGTGCGAGGTGGCAAATCACAAAGTTTTTTCTGCGATGGGTCGTCACGCGTGCAGGCAGCACTTTATGCAGCTGGATCCCGCGGCCAGACCAGAAGCTATTCCCTCGGAAGCTGGAACTGTTGCAGGTTGCAGGGAACAGCCTCGGCCTCGTAGCCTGGTTGGCCCCCAAGGGGGGGCCGGCGGGCTTTGAGTCCTCGGATTTCGAGATCAAGGGGTCCCCGCACGTTGTGGGCTTCTTTTTCTGTGGATTCTGAATGCATTCTTGTGTTTCCATGCCATTCTGCGCGGTGCCTTGTTGTACTCGTGCGTTGCCGGCAGAACAGCGTCGGTTTGCGGGAGGTCGTGCTGAAGGGGAGCTCCACCCGCGCTCGCAAGGGGCCGGGGCGCCGCCCGCGCCCTGGCGACATGAGGCGGACTCTCGGCGTTGGAAAAGACGCCCCGGGGCCTTCCTCCCTCGGGCACCTGTGGTCCGGGCAGCTGTCCTCGCACCCCCCATCATCGACCTCGCACCCCCAAGGGCGCCAAGATCATCGCGCCTCGCAGCCTGCGCCGGGGGGCTGCTGCTCTTTTCCAAGTGGGCAACTCGAGGGCGTGAAGAGCTGGAGGCGGCATGAAACGCCGCGGGGCGGCACGAAAAACTGTTCGGCCCACGCTCCAGGTGGCGTGGCGACCACGAAAGCATGTGTATGCCAGAACTGCGGCGACGGTTTTGTCATACACGATTAATGAGTGATATCGAATATGCAAACGTGTCATACCCTGGTCATGCCTATATCATACCGAAGTCATACCGACAGTCATGCGATCATCCATGCTGGACGTCGCGCCAGCTCCATGACCGGGTGGGCGCAGGGGGTGCCGGCCCCCCAGTCCGATGGATCATCGCCTGGGGTTGACACAGGGGCTATGTTCAGAACACAGTAGTGGGTTGGTTCCCACAGCTTGCGTTTGTGATTTTCTGGGGCCCCCAAGCGGCCTTCTGGGGTCACCGGCTGGAGGTTCCCACAGCTTGCGTCGGTGACCTTCTGGGGCCCACAAGCGGCCTCCTCGGGTCACCGGCCGGAGGTTCCCACAGCTTGCGTCGGTGACCTTCTGGGACCCCTCAGAGGCCTCCTGAGGTTGCTGGCTGGCGAATCCCATAGCTTGCGCCGCGACCGTTTCGGACACCCCCAGCGGCCTCCTTAGGTCGCTGGCTGGAGGTTCCCACAGCTTGCGTCGGAGACCTCAGGACCTGGGGCCTCCAAGCAGCCTCCTGAGGTCACCGGCTGGAGGTTCTTATCGCTTGCGTCGGTGACATTCTAGGGCCCCTAAGCGGCCCCCTCAGGTCACCGGCTGGAGGTCCCCACAACTAACGTCGGTGATATTCTTGGGCCCCCGAGCTGCGTCCTCAGGGCGCCAGCTGGAGGTTCCCACAGCTTGCGTCGGTGACCTTTCGGGGCCTCCAAATGGCCTCCTGAGGTCACCAGCTGGAGGTTCCCACAGCTTGCGTCGGTGACCTTCTGTGCTCCCCCATAGTGGCCTCGTGGGGTCGCTGGCTGAAGGTTCCCACAGCTTGCGTCGGTGACCTTCTGGGGTCCACAAGCGGCCTCCTCGGGTCACCGGCTTGAGGTTCCCACAGCGTGCGTCGGTGACCTTCTGGGGCCCCCCAGCAGCGTCCGCAGGTCACCGGCTGGATGCTCCCACAGCTTGCGTCGGTGACCTTCTCTGGTGGCCCCCAAGCGGCCTCCTGAGGTCACCAGCAGGAGATTCCCACAGTTGGCGTCGGTGACGTATTTGGGCCCCCAAACGACGAGGAGCAGAGTGCTTTATTCAGAGTTGCACGTGGGACATCGGTGGCACTCGTCAAAAGTGTGGGCGGTGCGCGGTGCAGGTGGCAGAACAAAGCTAGCGCGCCCTTGGCGTTGCGCTGAGTGCAACGAGCTGGCCCGCGGAGTCCCGTGGGTCCCGTACGGCGCAGAAGGGTTGGAGGCATT